ATGTCGTGTCGAGAGACATGCGCTAAATTTTTTACTTCATGCTGTATTGTGAGGCAAAAAGTCTTCGGTTTTGAAATCAAACACAGCATTTAATTCTATGAGCCGCACATCACTGGTTATATGATTATGAGTTTAGCCTGCTAGTTGTACCCCAATATGTAATCCTCTGCGGCACATTTGAATGATATAAACATCCCCTGTGTTCGGAAAAACCTTACCCAGGATTGGTAGCGTGCGTGGCTATGATTACATTTTAGCAAGTTGGATGTTTGAGTAGCAGGCACAGCTTCATACAGGCCCTTAGGAAGGAAACCCCCTGCACGCCTTCTGGTTTCTGTCACTATTTTCTCCTTTGGTTGGGACGTGGCAAATGCAAGAATGAAAATCTGGACCCAAACATGGAAGGCATTGATTGAGGGCGGCACAACTGCCTTGTTAGCAATAGAAGGATTCAGTGAGAGAGAAACATCACCTGTTGGCTGCCTCCTGCATGCCCCCTACTGAGTAGGGAGCCCACAACCTGAGCATGTGCAATCGAACCCTGACCTCTTGGTTCCCAGGTCAACGCTCAACCCGTACGCAACACCGTCCAGGCCTTACTAGTTTCATAACCTTCTAACTCATTAACATTAGCTTGTGGTGAAACAAAGTGCTTTATTGGTACCATTTTTATCATAGCTCTTTACATATTAATTGATGCAAACTTGAAACTCATGGTTATGCATTTATGTTTTAGCATGAAGAGACTGATGTATTAGTGACCAAGAGCTGTTATTATTGTTGTTGTTTTTTCCCCCATCCATCACTTGTTACTAGTTCGATTGATTTTGTTTCATCTGCTTATGGTTTAACTATATATATCACATTCTGGAATGAAGAATACATACGTTTTAATGACATCATCTTACGATCCTCACATTCCTCTCACCTTGCATCATTTGTCTTTATGTGTTAGAGAAAATTATAATAGTAGAATTAGTGTATAATATTTCTCAATTTATTTCCGGCTTCCACTCATAAGTTCCAAACATAAGTTCCCACTCATAAAAATGTACATAAATCGTGTAGTCCAAAATACTACAATTTTAAGTCAGTGACCTATCTTTTTAGCATAGCTTGAAGTCCTAACTAAACGCAATTTATGAAATTAATTGCTCTACCACCATGTTCTTAACCTTTTAAAGTTAATCGTTCCCCAAGGGATAGAATATTATCATGGTGTGGAATTCTGTATTAGACTGAAAGCTGTATATTTTGGGGTCCTGATCCTAACGTGGTTCAGGGTGAGTAGTTTTCCAGGGTCAACTCACGTGAGTCACATTAGCTTTCTAAGTGCCATAGGTTACTAGTTAACTCCAAGACAGAGTCAGTTTATTAAAGTAATGCCAGAGGAATATTCATTTTGCTTTACTTGGGAAACTACATTTTCTTTTTGTTTCCTTCATTGTCTGAGCCTTTTCTGTTCTTTAAAGAGCAGCTAATTCACCCTATATTAATATGTGATCAGATACACAAGGATTATCTCTTCTTGCTTTAGAGCGGTATACATCTTTCTTCAGCATAAAAATCACTCACGTTGCAAAATCTCCTAACTCTAAAAGTCCCGCCACTGTGTGTTATGATAAGACTCTGCTACTGCTGTCAGTAGCTCTTCTAAATTTTCTGCAAAAAAGGGTTCATTATATATGACTAAAATCAACTTTGTATTTTAAATATTTTCACATAATTCAATGTAAAAAAAATGAAAATCTCTCAACCAATATAGTGGCTAGTTAAAATTACAATGCAATATTTTACTGGTTACTGAATCAGTAGCATGTGTATACTCTACTTCACATGCTCCACTTTCAGTCTTTCCCATTTGGTGTCTCATTGCTGTCCAACCTGAAGATATGTACATTTCTATCTGATTATCTGTACTTCAGAGATTTCTCTCCATGTTTTAAAATTTCTATCTGTAATACTACCATCACTGTTCACTCATTTCATTTATGTATGTATGTATATATTCACTGATTCATTCATTTATTCATTCACTCAGTCATCATTTTTTTTTAATATGTCTTTATTGATTTCAGAGAGAGGAAGGGAGAGGGAGAGAGAGATAGAAACATCAATGATGAGAGAGTCATTGATCGAGCCCACAACCTGGGCATGTGCCCTGACCGGGAATCGAACCCCAATCGCCTGGATCCTAGGTTGATGCTCAACCGCTGAGCCACGCCTGGCCTGGCTCAGTCATCATTTCTTGCCTTACAAAATCTCATACAAAACATGTGTTCTTCCAGGATCTTAAAACCCACTTATTAAGCCAAACAAGGCAATATAATCAATGTTGCTCTCAGGCTTTACCTTTGTTGCAGACTGTGTGTTTCCAAAAGAACCGAATATTTGAGAACACGTTTGATAGAGATGAGGTAATCCTGAGAGTGCACCACTTTATTGCTTCACAAATGGTTATTATCATAATCACATGAACTATTAATCAATTGACTAAATGTTCCTGTGAAGGTTTCCCATTGGTGTTACAGGAAACTAATTATTTCAAGATTTAACCAGACCAGCTGAGAGTTTAAATAACCCATTAATAAAATGATCATCTAAAAAAATCATTTAAATGATTATTGAAACACTTATAATGAGTATTATCAACAACTAATATAATCCAAATTCATTTTCATAGTATTTTAATGTAACTTTTACTGTGCTAGGCAGCAATATAAATGCTTCTAAATTACAGTTCACTGATTGTGTCGCACATCTATCTTCAAATTAAAAATAACTTCTGAAACATTTAGACTAAGTGATTTATTTATTCTGAAAACTTTATGATTATGGAAACAGATCCAAATCTTAAAATCTAAACCAATAAAATTACTGGAATTTTCCTTTTATTAGAATTACTTACCAGATGAATATAAAGCATAGAGTATATAATCTTTTTAATACTTTAGATTGACAACTTTACTATTTATTTTAACTACTTTTGTTGTTGATATGCATAAATAAGCCCTTTCTCCTTTAAATATAAATATATCTTTATTCTGTAAACTTCTATCCACAACTAAATCATGCCAGGTTAACTTTACTAAAAATATAGAAGAGTATGCAGAATCTGTATCCTGAGGGGAAGAGTGAATCAGAACCATTGTCATTTCTTTCTAAAATCAGTTGATAGAAGGCATACCACTTTCCCCAAGAAGCATGTTTAATTAGTTATTTTTATATTATACGTATTTATAATTTACATATAGCGTAACAATAGCTAATATATCTGTCTCACCTCTTATTTATTTGTTATTCAGAAAAGTTTCTAAAAACATTTGTTCATTGAATTCACTGCTTTATTCTGCTTTTAGTCACAAGTTGGTACAAAGTTAGAGAATATGAAGCTGGCTGCCTATCAATAAAATGATTAAACTTTTCTTCTAGGTGCTAAAATGATGTCAAGAGACGTAGAGAAACAGATACGTTTTTACACATGCACATAACTGTCTTCATGCAGCTCATTCTACCTTCTTAGCAGTTAATTTGCTAACAAGGTGTGAAACTTTGAAAACTGTGTCTCATATTTTGCGCATGTATTTTTACTTCTTTTTATAAAAGCCTTCATAAGGCAGTTATGAAATGATTTAATTTGTTCAATCTTGCTGAGTGATTCTCATCAGAATTGTGTCCCCTAGTTTATGTCTTGTTTTCAAAAAGAAGTAAAATTATTCCTGATGTCCTATAATTTATGTTTCAGTTGGCCTAATTTTCCTAAAAAACACTCCTTCCCTTATGTTGTATAGCCTTTTGTTCTACATTTTATTTTTTTAAAAAGTCTTCTAAGAGTTCAGAGATTTAAAATAAACCTTGAAATTTTTCACTTTACCATGGCAAGAAACCAAAATTCTATGTGAACAGGTTATATTTTTACAATGTTCCCAAGTGTCAGAAATGAACAAAAGGTAAATGGTGGAGGTTATGTGACCAAAGAGGTTTCATATAAAGGATAATTGTTCAGATCTCTTGAGAGAAACAATTCTTTAAATATATGGTTGTGATTTGATAAAACACTGCAGGTGTTCCCAGCTAGAAATGTAGCAGTGGCAGTCATGGAAATATAAAACTGAATTTTGATGTTATAAGTTATAGTAGAATATTAAGTATGAACTATACACAGTTTAAAATCATTTACTGATCTGTAAACGACAAAAAGTACGTTAAATTGCCTTAATGTTATTTATCATTTGAATTGAAAACCTCTTCTCTTCTGAAATACTACTTTTCTAATTAATATCTGCTCAAAGAATATTCACTAATTTTAATTTTAATTTTAATAAGTGAGACTTTCTAGTAATCTCAATTAATTAAAAACACAGGGCCTACTTATTGATTACATCTTTAATACTACAATTTTGAATTAAATTTTTATAAATTTAAGGAAAAAATATTCTACTATGAAGGCTTTTTAATTTAAATCTGAGCAATTCATCTATAAAATATTTTTAATTAACAATTAATGTCTCTGTGACAAATGTACCTCTTGTAATTTTAATAATTAACTTTACTCTCATTTTTCCTCATTTTCCCTAATGTTAAATTTAAAATAGAATGCCAAACAAATAAAAACAAACAAGAACATTTTTCTACCAGTATTGAAACAGTATTTCTCCAAGTGACTTGCTGGTCATTTCTTTTCCCAGTCCTATGTAGGTTGTAAAATGTTGATTTAGTAGAATAGTAGTAAGAGTTACTGTTTTTCTTTTATAAGTATTATTAATTTATCTTAAGTCAATAAGTGGATGTCTTTTACAGATCATAGTAAAACTATCCATATTAATAGCAAGTGGAACAAAATGTCAGAAAAATAAATGATTTGTAGTAACTCACAAGACACTGTGGGAAAAAAGTCATAATCAAACTAAGTATTAAATTATTGATAGGCAGTTGTCAGAGAATACCACATGAGGCTGGAATATAATTGCATGTTAAATTATTCCATTTGTCTTTTATAGCTGCACTCCAATTCTGACAAAGGTGATGGGTCTGTCAAGTACATCCTTACTGGAGAAGGTGCTGGGACCATATTTATCATTGATGATACCACGGGTGACATCCACTCAACAAAAAGCCTAGACAGAGAGCAGAAAACCCACTATGTGCTCCATGCCCAGGCCATTGACAGACGGACAAACAAGCCTCTTGAACCGGAGTCCGAATTTATCATCAAAGTGCAGGACATCAATGACAATGCTCCAAAGTTCACAGATGGACCGTATATTGTTACTGTGCCTGAAATGTCAGATATGGGTAAGAAAAATCATCTTTATATATACTTTGACTTAATATATTTTTGAGGATCCAGAAGTCATCTTTGAACACCAGTTTTATTGTGTGTGTGTGTGTGTGTGTGTGCGTGTGTGTGTGTGTGTGTGTAGAAATTTGAAGATGTTCCAAAATAGTTTAATACTTTCCTGTGGCCAAAAGTATTAAAGAGTATTAGTTCTAGTTATTATTATATTTATTAAAATTACATGTTTGAATGTATAAGTGTAAAAAATGATTTGATCTCAAGAAAACACTATCATAACTCAGAAAAGACCTGAAATTTTTGATTAATTGACATGTTTTTTAACCATGTAAATTCTTCTAGTAAACTGTTAACATTTCAACACATTCAAAGTGACAATTTTCATAGACAAGGAAAGACAATATAACATTGGAAATCTTTTGGTGTGTCTTTTAGACTTATAGTTTATGACCCAGTTATAATAGTATTTATAGCATAAATAATAGCTTTGCTAATCAATAAAACTTTATACATACTCCTAAACATTTAACAACCTTATATATTTTTAAATATACAACAACCCTGTGAAGTGCTTTAAATATCACTTGCACAAAATGGCATACAATACTTACTAAGTTTTCTAAATTCACATATCTAGGAATTGGACAAACAGAAATGAACTCCAGGTTCTTCTGAATGCAAGGCTTACACAGCAGTTAATAAATTATAATCTAGGTCTCCAGTTACCCTGATGATCTGGCATTTTCCAACCACTCATAAGTATCTATGGTCTAGCTATTTTATTTTATTTTATTTTATTTTATATTTTATTTTATTATTTTATTTTATTTTATTTTAATCTCATGTGATTAATTTTCTAAATAAAGTTCCTAATTAAAGTTCAGCTATCATAATATTTTTGACTGTTTCTGAAGCTTAAAGCTTAGATTTAGAAAACATTCTTTGAGTAAAGGTTATTTTCAAAATATGTACATTAGACATAATATGGATAAAAGCAATTGATGGGTTTCAGGTAGGTATGTTTACCTCAAGTATACTGCATATATATGGATAATATTTTAAATTAAGGCTATTATAATCAATTAAATCACTGTGTGTTGAATACATATATAATGTTGTTGTTTCTTTGTACTTTGGAAAGCTTTTTCCAGTTTTACTGCAGTGTATTTGACATACAGCCCTGTGTAAGATTAAGATGTATAGCATAATGACTTCACTTAAATATATTGTGAAACAGTGGCCACAGTAAGTTCCGTTAATATCCTCCATCTCATATGCATAGGGTTTTTTAATGGAAGATTGTAGTTTCTTTCCTTCCCAACTCCAGCCCATTTTAAGGTTCTCTTGAGCTAGGGAGGCAGCTCCTGAAGCTGTTGGAGAAGCAGGTTGGGAAGAGAGACTAAGCTCTCCTTCTTGACCAGAGTCTTGGGGGAGAGGGCAAGTGCCAAACTGGCTCCCTATGGACCAGAGGAGACAGAGAACAGAAGCCAGCCCCAGAGAGCCTGGGAGAGGCCCAGAGTCACTCAGGCTCCCTGTTCTAATGAAGACTGAGAGGAGATTGAAGGGCCCCACACTCTTAACCCTGGCAGGTGAGATTAGTGTGGAAACTCTAAACAGACCTGCTCCTCATGCCTTGTCAAGGGCTGACAGCCCATCTGCCAACCCCATTCTGTTGGCCAAAAGCAAAGAGCTCTATGACTTGTGAGATTACCAATGGTAAGGCCCCACATGGTGACAAAAGACCCCCAAGGAGCACAAGGTAAAAAACCAAACAAACAAACAGAAACTATAATCATAGGGGACAACACACTATATAGAGAAAAAGAGGCACAGCAGTTATTACTAATAAAGACAACATATTGAGGAGTGGGTAATAAGATAACTAGTGTTTCAAGGACACCGAAAAGAGATTTCTGTAACTCAAAACCATAATTTCTATAAGTAAACAAAAAATCAATATATGGATTGAGGCACGAGTGGTCACTGATAAGACCCAAGTTATCTTTCTGGAACTTGAAAACATACCAGATGGGAAGAAGTAGGTAAAAATCAGGGAGAAAAAATACAAAATAATGAAAATTGTCAGAAAAAGATGAGACTTAGAGGATACATTTATTAGACTTACAGGATGATTAACATTTGTTCCTAGAGCTCAAAACAGAGCCTATGAAGGAGAGGAACAATATTTCCTTAAGGTGAAGGATGCACTGAACTGACAAGTTTAATCGACTGAGTTCCAAGAAGGGGCTACGAGAGTAAGAATCAAACCTCCGTAAATCTTGGCAAAACTTTACAACCTGAGTAAAAGAGAAAAAATTACAAATGTTTAGATTTTTAAAAATTTCCTACTAAGAAAAATAATATTGACATCATCATATTTATCTTGAAATGCTGGACTCTGGTTGACAGCCGAATACCATTTACAGCCTGTGTCAAAACACGATTCATCTGTCAGGGTGAAAAACATTTGAGGAAGGTTCCATAAAGTATATCATTTTTCATACCTTAAAAATATTGGAGAAAATTGTTGAAGTTGAAAATAGTTGAAGTGAAATAGAAGAGAGATCGGAGAGACAAGGAAAATGTTATCAGCAGTGTGCTCTGAAAGGCGTGTGAGTGTGTGTGAACAGTTAAATCTAAATGGGTCCCTGGAGGATGCCAGAGGGTACTGTACAGTGTAGGAACCGTGCGGCATAAAGGACTTAGCGCAGCAAAGGCTGTGTGTGAGGGCGCAGGGTGAGGATATCTCAGAAGCCTCGGCTAGGGCGTGGGGAGGAGGGTGGAAATGGGAGCAGCTCTGTTACCGAGATGGGTATGGCTGAAGGAGAAAGATTTAATTACTAAACGTAGTGGAGAAAAAGAACACGCGAGAGTAGGTGCTAAGTCTCTAGCACCGTGTTCTAGGCATGATTCTATTGACAGAGAATGGTAAGCAGTAGGCTAAACACTGGAAATGTGTGTGTGTGAGAGAGAGAGAGAGAGAGCGCTCATTATTGTAAACCAAATACATTAAAATCACAGCAGCATCTAGGGCACATTGTAATGTGAATGTATAGAGGCAGGTGGAAGTGGAAGGAGAAACTCCCTTCACAAAGGGAGCCTAAGAATAGGTAACACAAGGACACTAACTTTAGACATGAAAAGCTGGCGATACTGTGGGAAAGGGTCTAGCAAACGGGCAGGGAGGCGAAGCCAGCCTGCTGCTTGTTTTGTAAATAATGTTTTGCTGGGTCCCAGCCGTAGCCGATCATTTAAACCTTGCCAGTGGTCGCCCGGGTGCTGCTGTGGCAGCGTGGAGTGGTTGCCGTAAAGACGGACTCACAAAGCCTAGAATATTCCGTGTTGCCTTCTGCAGAAAAGTTCGCCAACCTCCACTGTAAGGGTGTCCAGGGGGTGAGGCCAGGGGTAGGGGGAGTAATACAAGAATAGTGTTGTCGTCCTGACGATAGGCAGGGCACCTGCTCATCTAGGGCCAGTTGCTTTCTGCCAGCCCTGCTGAATGACACTTATGCACAGAAACAGGGCATTCATTACAAATAAGAGGGTCATGTTCATTCCTTTTAGGCCAGGGGTGGGGAATGTCCGGCTCACGGGCCATATAGGGCCCGCAAAACCGTTTGGTCCGGCCCTGCCAAGGCAACTGCAGGTGGGACTCAAAATTCAATAAATCTAGGAGCTTTTTTCATAGCTAATTTTTAAGTTGATAATTTTGTATGGCCCGCGAATGATGTTCTAAATACTCACATGGCCCTTGGTAGGAAAAAGGTTCCCTACCTCTGTAAGTTATCTGACTCATAATCAGCCTCCCCCTCTGTGTGACTAAGAGAACTCAGTTTTGTTCAGGGTGACACTAGGCAGAGTTCAGTGTTCATCTCCCGTCATTCCCTGTCATCGAGGAGTGGCCCTGTGACGTAACTCTAGCTGGTAAGATGTAAGTAGAGGCCAAAGGGCGGAGCTTCCGGGAAAGATGTGGGTCTGGTGACTGAATCACATAAGTGGCACACACGTGTCATCCACTGCCAGTTCCCTTTCTTGCTGCCTGCAAGGCGGACGCGGTAGGAAATGCAGCGGCCACTGGCAAGCACAGGAGCAGAGCCTCTTGCTAGGTGAGACGGAGCCGAAGGATGAGAGGGCCTGGAAGAATGGCAGACTGACCTGCCCACCCCAAAACCTTTCTTAAGAAAGTTCTCCTCTTTCTACTTAAGCTCTTTCATTCAATCTCAGATACATGAAGGTACATTGGATCTGAATTAGTACTTGGACAAATTCTAGGTTTCAACATGGACTTAATAAGCAAAGAATTGGACCTAACACTGAATCTAAAGGAATGGTGAGAAAGGTTTTGGCATCAGGTAAGAAACAGTGATGTCATTTTCTGTTAAGTGCCTTGATATTTAAGTAGTACATGGAGTCATCCCCCTTTCCCCCTTTCACTGTGTAGTTAGGAGGCTAGCTGATTTTGCAACGGCAGCAATGTTCTTTCTGCCTGTGGTGTTGCTAACAGTTTTCAGGTGTCTGTATCTTGCTTGCGATCAACTGTAGAGTCAATTGTATCCATACAAGTTCTGATTAGCGGGTAAAGGGAGATTGGACATTTTGAATTTAGACCCTGAGTTTTGCAGAAAATCTAAAATTGATCACCACAAAACAAGGGAGTTTTGTCAGGGTGTGAGCCTACAGGTTGCCACAGCAGTTGTGGTAATGACCACTGAAATAGCTGCGAGGACTATTTACGGAGCACTTACCATGTGTGAGGCACCGCATGCTGTTTGCAGTAATTTCATGCTTGCATAATCGTGACGGCAGCGCTAAAGCGATCCTTGTTTTGCCGAGGATTAAACTGATACATAGAATTAAGCGATTTGCCCAAGGTTGCATGTTTAGTGAGAAGTGCAACTGGGAACGATTTCTAAGCTAGGCAGAGCTTTACCTTTTGAGTTCCCACTTTTTAATATTGTTAAAAAATTAAAAACTGAATCAAGCTATTTGTTGAATAATT